CTCGGCGGCGGCGGCGCGCAGGAGGCCCGGGCCGCGGGGGCGCGCCTCGTGGGTCAGATCTGCTGCGACCCGGTTTCAGCCCTTCTTTGTCGCTTCCCCTCCAGAAATGTTAGGAAGACGCGCGCTGCGGCAGGCCCTTTCACCTTTCTTCTAGCGATGCTGTCCCACAGAGACACAGCGCGGTGCAAGTGCAGGTCCGGAGCCACTTACAACGGGACATGAAAATGGTGTCGTTTCGATGCAATCAATGTAAATAGGTGAATACTTTTTCTCAGTTGAAATTCAGTGTGTATTAAGGGCATCTCATTTGATGTGAGGTTCGTTTAAGTGTACTTAGAACGCACATGTGGCTAGTGTTTAGCATATGGTATAGCACATTTGTAGTGATTTAGATGTGAATTTTTTGGTCAGGCCTTAAGATACTCACTTAAGGATGAGTGTAAGTGGGGGAAATGGGCTGGGGAGCTAGCTCAGGGCATAAGTGCCTGCCTGGCAAGGTTGTGAGTTTGGTCCCAGTTTTTTGTGTTTTTTTTTTAAAAAGAGGCTTCTGTACAAAAAGGGACAAGTAAATCTCTTTACCGTTGGATTGAACTATCCCAACAAATCCTGATTTGAGCCCTCTGATTTGCACAGTGCTTAGTGTTTTTCCATCTCACCAGAATCATTTCAGTTAGGATCGAGAAACACTAACCATTTTCTCAGCTCACGAACAAAACAATCTTCACCTAAATGATAAGAAAAATAGCTTTAATCAGAACAACCAGGAGTAAATTTGTGTTGCTGATGTTAGACAGTATTATAAGGTGTATCACGGTTTGCAAGGAAAATAATACAAGACACATAATTTTTAGGATTATTTTATAGTAGTCACCCAGAGAGTCAAATACAACAAAGTGCAGGAAATCTCTCCCCACACAAAAGACCCAGAGAATCCAAGGAAGGGCCTGGATCCCATGGCAATGTCCTGCTTGGGTCCATCTGAACATCTAGAGCCTGTGACAATGCCTCCCACAAGTGGAGCTGGAGGCCTAGAGCCAGGACACTGTCCCACGCAGATCTGTTTCATGAATCTGTGCTGGGAAGGCCCAGAGGTCAGCAGCAGAAGCTAGAAAGCCTGTGGCCGCACGATGAAGAATCAGGCGAATCAGGCGGAAGGATCTGCACTGGGGCCAGAAAGCGATGCTCACTCCCCACGAAAGTACCACAGCCATCCTCAAGAACAGTGAGGTCCGGAGCTCCTCCAAGGACAAAGAGAGCTGCATTCCAATCAGGAAAGCCAGTGCAACAAGCTTCTCCAGAAGACTGAGCAGTACCCCATCTTCCCCTTGAGCCAGGAAGCATTGCTCAAAGTAAGGACCAGAGTTCCCCCAAAGTTGACTATAGGCATTCTCAGTGACAACGCGGTCCTGAGCTCCTTCGAGGATGAGAAAAGCCAGCATGACGTGGTCCTCCAAGTGAACCAACAGCTTCTCGAGGACCAACAACCCCTAACAGCACCTCTTCTCCAGTTCTTTTTGTTTGTTGGCAACAAACCTCCAGTGGGTCTTCCACATGCAGCACCACTCTGATTCAGTTCAGCTGGGTGTTACAAGTTAACCACCAGATGTCAATCCACTACAAGGGTCTCTCTGTGTAGTTCAGGCTGGTCTTGAACTCACTCTGTAGCCTGGACTGGCCTTGAACTCATCTTGTGCTATCATGATGGTGCAATATTACATTTAAAATGTAGGTGGGTAGCTGTAGTCCCAGCTCTGAAGAGGCCACAGCAGGAGGATCAAAAGTTCAAGGTCGGCCTGGGTCACATGGGGGTTCATAGCTAACCTGGACTATCTAGCAAGACCCTTTCCAGAACACCAAAAATGTAAACTATACCCAGAATTAAGTGATGCTTCTAACATTTTAGAAGCCACTATTGTAGGTGGTCACCAGTCTTTTGGCCTGCACTCCTGTGTTACATAGGAGGGATGCAAAACCTGAGCTTAAAAACGCAAAATGACGCTTCCCGGGTGCTCTGCTGGCTAGATGTTGTGACTGTCCCAGCATTTGTCCACACTGACTTCTCTTTGCCCCTATTGTCCCATGGATAATGGGTAGCGCTATCCTAACACTGGGTACTTTGCTCTGTGAAGATAAGATTATGCTTCTTCCTTGAGCATATCTTTGTGCAGCTTTCTTTTGTTAGCTAAAACTGGGTAATTCAGAAATACCTTTTGGTTTTCCCTTCTTGCTATTATGTAACTTTAGCCTTGTTCTTATAATGTGTGCAAGGTGGATGTGGGAATAATACGAATCTATTTAGCATCGATAGCAATAGCCAGGACTTACTGAGTGTGTAATCGGGTACAGTCATCAGTTCAAAGATTGACCTTTCATATGTAAGCCACAATACCACGTGAAATAATGTTCACACTTTGTATAGTAGTCTCACCTTACAGCACAAGTGCCAGGATAACACAAGAACTCAGCAGCATTGGAGAACTGTCCTAAAACTCAGTGCTAGGTATTGCAAAATGGCACCGAGAGAATAATCTAAAACTGCTCCTTCTCTCCATTTGGACCCTTTTCCTTAGTGCCTGTCCCCAGAGGCTGGGTCAGGGTGCAGCAAGGAGCTGGCTCCCCACTTCTGGCCTTGACACACGGGCAGCTGTGCAGGAGTGCAGGCATAATTTATTTTAAAGCAGAACCTTGAAATGTCTCTGTGCTCTGAGACCTAACAAGTGATTATGAATGGACAATACATTGAAGCCTTGTTTCTTACCTGGAAAGGCAAGCTGTTTGGGAGGCCTCAGACTCCCTAATGTCTAGCTCCCTGCTGAACAGTTGTAGTGTAGGCAGACTAAACCCTGAGAGGTTTGAAAATGTGTTGTAATACAAGAAATGGACCTGTGAACTACAGCAAAGGTGTTTACTTAAATTAGGCTTGATAGGTGTTTTCAGGAAGATTCTTCAAGTCGCCTGCCTTTGACTCCCTCTCTGGTGATAGCTGCACCCTGGAAGGGCTCTGTCTTGGTGCCTGGATGTGCGGCTGTCACTATACTGTTCAGCTGTCCCCTCCGCCAAGGAAGCTTCTAGAGGCAGAGGACGCCTTCTCAGCTCTCAGTCTAGCGCTTAGCCCAGCACTTGGCCCACTGTAGGCTTGTAACAATAATGGTCCTCACGTGACTGCAGTAGTCCTGCCCTTCGCTGGGTGACCAGCACAGAGACAGTAAAGATACTTGGTGACTTCAGGTTCGTCAACAGGCCTCGAGGGCTCAGACAGTGCAGCCTTTTAGTCTAGCTAACAGGAGAAATTTTCCTAGCTCTCAAGTAGGAAGTGTTTACAAACCACATGTCTCGGTTGCTCTTCTCGCGTTGCTGGGACAAATACCTAACACCCAGAATGAAGGAGGGAAAGGCTTATTTAGCTCACTGTTCGGGAAGGTTTCAGTCTATACTCAGCTGGTTCCAAGGCAGAGAGCAACCGTTCATGGTGGTAGCAAAGAGCAGAGAGCAAAAGGAGAAGAAGCAGTTCCAACAGCTAGCCAGCCTCCCTCTCCCTACACTGTAATGCAAGTTACCTGCCCCAGGGCGGGTGCAGCACCCACACCCACAGTAATCTATCACAAACTCCAGAAGCCACCCCATGACTGCATGAGGCTTTGGGGGACACCTAGGCACAAACAACACCACACATCCAACAAAGGGCATCAAGATTAAATACTCTCAAAACTCAAGTGTAAAAGGACAGTCAAACGCAGGCCTGATAGTGCATGCCTAGTAAATAGTCCTAGAGCCCCGGGAGGCTGAGACAAGAGGATTGTAAGTTAGAGCCCAATCTGGGTTGCTTAGTTACTTAGTGACACCCTGCCTTAAAATTTAAAAATATTAACAGGGCTGGGGATTTAGCTTAGTGCAAAGACCCTGCATTTAATCCTTAATACCCACCCCCAGACA